CTCTATATTTAAAGAGACACGTCCTTTAAAAAATGATAATGCCAAAAGTCACAATCTTTCATATAGAAAGACACATTTTCAACCAAATAATTTCTAGAATATTCCATAATATTCTACGCACTTTTCCTGTAATTCACATATTAAAGTGATTATTGAGAGGCCCAACTCCAAGGTGACACTCGAAAAGTGAAATTTAGTTAATTAATTGCATTTTTATCTAGTTATTGTTGTTCGAATTTGACTCACAATGCACCAGTTAAATTAATTAATTCATTCTTTTTCTTCTTTTTTTTTGAATGCTGATTTATACTCAACATCATATGAGTGTAACGCTTCAAACATATTCTTTCGTTAGGCCTCTCAATGAATACTCCCAGGGATCATTCAGTGAATAGGAACTCAAATAAATCACAACCGTTGATCATTTAAGATTCCTAGTGGGACCCACGAATGTTCTTCAATTTACAAGTCCCTTACTCCTCGAGCTCCTCAAAGTCACCGTTGAATCCACATTAAACCACGTTACGTTTCTTGCACCTATTTTGAACGTTGAATTATAATTAAAATCAACCAGCTTATTGGCCGCGTTTTGAACACGCGATATGAAAGTCGAGTGTCTAAACTGAGATTGTTTCATTTAAATTTTAAAGCAAAAGGGAATTTATAAATCTATACTAGTTTCGCTCGAATAATCCCGAGGAGTGACGGCCTTCTCCTTGGTTCGCCATCCGAGTAAATTCAAATACGGTCTCAACTTATACACATTTGGGCTGGACATTCTTCTCCCTGTGGACCTCCCTTTATGACGTGTGGACAGGATCCTCGGAAGGGTGACAAAGTGCACCATGACTTGCTTCCACATGACACCTGCCTTCTTACCTAAATGTTACCTTCCAGCTGTCGCAGAGATTCGAACCTCTGATACTTTGTAGAAAACCCTCATATTTTACTATTGCGCCATGTCCCGTGAGGGCTTATAAGTCTACTTTTATTTTTATGTACAATAGTGCAACGAATGTAATTTCGCCTGAAATTTATCATGCATAATAAATTTTGAACATCGAAAGTTCAGAATTAACTTGTGAGTGATTATATTGTCACCACAATTTTTATTGTAAAAATTACATACAACCAGTGTTTTATACTTTTCAATTCAAAATTAAGATGTATAAGTTTTTTTTTTTTTTTCAAAATTAGATAATTGAAAATTTTAATATTATAAATTAATTTATATATTCATACCCTATCCCGATGAAACCCAAAAATCATTTTCTCTTTCTCCCTCTCCCTCTCCCTCTCCATCGCTTTCTACCCTATCACTCATACATGAACACCGCTGCTGTCACCGGAGACTACCCCATTTGTTGTGATGCCGTCGATGTTCGTAGAAGTGCTAATCTCCTATTTAATGTCCTTCTCCGATGTGCAGTGGTGCGACAATTTGTGCTGTGCGGTGTGCCGACCTATGGTATGCGGTGGTGCGTGGTTTATGATGGTGTGTATGACAATGAACTGTGCGAGCTGTGGTGTGTGCGGATCTATGCAGTGGTGATCTGTGTGATGTGTGCGTGATGATGCTAGTGGTGGCAGTTGTAACACCTCAAATTTTTCTTACTATTGTTCATATGGACCTGAACTTAATATTGGTCATTTAGCCAATTGAATGATTCACGTCTAGTTTTGTCATCACACTAAGTTCAAACGTAAAAAGATAAGCTCAACTCATTTATTCGCATAAAAGATTTACCTTGCTTACGAGTACTTTTAGAATTTATCGTAAACCATTTGGATCGAATATTTAATTATTTTTAGATGTTGACGAAATATATAAAATATTATATTCACTTGTAGCTTGTATTAAATAATATAATTTGGGCTCAAAAAAAAGTAATTTTGAGTTAGTCCTATCCGAATTATTCTAATGAAAAGAAAAGTGTTAACTTTTAATATTTTATTTATCTATAATAATAATAATAATAATAAAGAAAAAAGGTACAGAACTTCCATGTAAGAATTTGAAGAGATGTTAAACATAATTACCAATATAATTAACATAATTATGTCTTAAGTAACTTGAAATTCATTGATTTTGAATTATGTCACCAACCTTTTGAAATTCCTTGAAGGTTACGTGCTAGTGATTTATATAAGGTGTGAGGTGCGAGTGTTTTGCATTATAAATTTTATAAGTTCATTTTTATTTTAACACACACGCTCTATTCACTTCCACATTATCATTTCAAACCACTTTTTTAGAATTTCGGGTGTCAATTGAGGTAAGAATATGTCGTGCAAAGTGGTAAATTCTTATTTCTTGATATTTATATAAATTTTCGCATAAAATACTATAAGGCTTTCGGGTTGAATTATATGTTAAATCTTTCGGGATAGACCGTTAGGTCAAGTATGTTAAATCCTACATGATGGGCCTTTGGGTCAAGTATGTTAAATTCTACAGGATATGAAAATTCTTAAGAAATTCTTTGAGCTCTAAATCTCAGAAATAACAGTTCATTATGTCAGTTTTATATTTATATCATGTTAATAAAAATGTGCATGTATTCTTATTGAGTGTTTTCAAAATATTCACTCTTACAATACTTTTCAGATGAGAACTGGTTGTTTGGACGCGTGGAAGATTGATCGAGTGATGCTTATGGGGTTGTCAAGTAAATTTTCTAGAAAAGATAATTGTCAAACTTTTATTTGAAGAATATTTTCACATTGAATTTTGTACACATTGTTTAATAGCTATTTTTATGCATTTTCAACATTTAATGAAAGTACCATTTCCTCTTAAATTAGACAAAAAAGATTTTGGTAACACCTCGATCCTATTTTTTTTTATAAAAGAATAAAATAATGAAGATGAAAAAAATATCGAGGCGTTACAACAGTAGAGGTGGTGTTGCGGTAATATGTACATTTTTAGATTGGTTTCTTCCTCCAACCCGGTCTTGTTTGAGGTAGTGATATGGACGGGTGGAGGGTAGGGTGGGGTGCAGCGGCGATGGTTTTTGAGTCTTGGGTTAGTTTTTTTAGTTATGGTGGTATAAAAGTGGTGACAGTGGTACTATAGGTGGTTGGTAGATCTGCAATGCGGTGTTGGTTTTGATTTTAGTTGTTGGAGTGGTGGTAGTGCTTTCTATATTTCGATGTTGGTGGTGGGGTAGGTTGCATGTTTAGCAGTGGTGATGAATGTAGCGATGGTGTGGTGGTTTGTGAGTGGGATGGCGTGTTAGGGTAGGGGTGTTTGTGACCAATTATTTGATTGATTGTGATCAATAAATTGGTTAATTTACAACCAATAAATAATATGTAACTGATAATTGTAACCAATAAATAATATATGATATAAAAATTTGAGTTGTAACGTATAAAATTTTTGATTTGTGATCGATGAACAAATTGTAACTCATAAAATTTTTGATTTGCGATCATAAAATAATCTGTGACGCATAAATTTTTTTGATCTGCGATCGATAAATAATTTGTCACCAGGTAATTGGATAATTTGTGACGAAATAGCACATAATTATGACTTTAATTTATTGAATTAATAAAAACATATTTTTAATTAATTATTTCATAAATAAAAACTAATTAATATCCGATTTTCGAAATTTGAAAAGTTGTTTCTTAGTTTTGAAATAAACCATACTTAATCTTTAGATATGAAATTTTCTCATTTTCATTTGATACACCACATTCTAATTACAGTTATGTTCCTTATCTTTACTCATTGTGACAATTATTTCCTTAACCTTTTTTCGTCAAATTTATATTTTCAACTTTTCATTAATTAGTACATCTCACACTTGATGATTATTTATATCAAATATTTTATTTTCATGCTTTGAAATAAGGAAAAAAATTTATTCACACTTTTTTTTAAAAAACATTATGATGAAAAATAAGTTGTTTTACATCATTTTAACTGACCTTTAGACGTAAAATTGTTATCAAATATTAACTAATAGAAAGTTTGAGAATAAGAATGACTTCAAAAATCGTTAGGAACATAAATGGTACAATGAATAAATATTAAGAACCTTAAACGTATTTAACATGTGGTGCAATAAATAAAAGAATTTTATTTCTATCTAACTATTTTGATACTTAGTACAATTTTCTTAGTGCATGTTTGGCAAAGTTTAAATATTAACTTAAACTCATTAAACATATTATCAATCAAGTTTTGTAAGACTCACAATTTACTGTCAACATGTTTCATAAACCACACAACTTATAAACATTTTTAAAATATATAAATTTTACCAATCATATATTAATCTCTTATTTGTTATTGCATGTTATGAATTGAATAAGGTGAATTACTATATACTTTTGAAATGTTGACATGATGAGTGTAAGACAATGAACTTTAAGTTTTTGGTTGTTGCTTATAATGGTTTATAATTTGATTAAAGTCTATTTTATCTACATATTTCGTAATATTTACAAATCTATTTATTTTTAACTATACATTCATTAGGATGCAATACTTATGGTTTATTATGAGCATTGAAAAACATACGCTTAATTGAGTTCCTTCTATTTTAAAGTTGGATTCATATTTCATAGTTTGCTACAATTCAAAATACAATTATGTCCTTGGAGGGCAAAATTTATAAGCCGTTCAGAGATGGTCAAATTTTATTTTCAATTACACATTTTAGTAGATTTACAATTATTATTTACTTATCTGTCACTCATTTTTAGTTTTATAAATTCTTCACGAATGGAGGTTAAAATAACGTCCTCGTTTGATTTTAATTTTTCTCAAAAGGGATTTCATGAAAAGTAAATTTTTTAGAGAATGTAAAATTAAAAATAGAGAAAAATTGTTGTTAAAATTATTTATTGAAAGAATATATGATTGAAAATAAATTATGATTGAAAATAAATTGGAGAAAAAGTATTTTGAAAAAAATCAAAATCAAAGAGTAAAACATCTTTCGCAAATTAAAAATTTGATATAAATTTAATGAGAAGAATAGCCTTTCACGGCCTTTAGCAAACGTGACTGCAAACGTTCGAGGGAATTTATTTTCCTTTCTCCTTATTTTCCATCGACGAAACTGGAAGAGCCGCCCCTAGAAACCAGAAATTTCTTGGGTAAAATGAAATCCATCCTCGAAGCCCACCTTTTTTCTATCTAATCTGTGTTCGCTGTACAGTCTAAAACGCAGAATTCTCTTTGTTCAAACTCTCTGCCTAGCACTCTATTCTGTTTGAGTATTCACTGCAAAAAAATCGACAAAAATGCATTCGAATCATCTGCTACTCGAAGAGCCAATCAGGATGGCTTCTATTCTTGAGCCGTCGAAAGCTGTATGTTTCTATTTTCTATATGCAGATCTATGTTTAAATGTGTATTTTCATAATTGATTTGGAATTTGGGAAATAATCTGGTGGGTTTTTGGGATTGCAGAGTTTCTCCGCAATGACAAAGATAGTGGGAACACTGGGCCCTCGTTCTCGATCCGTTGAGGTTATCTCCGCTTGTCTTAAAGCTGGAATGTCTGGTAATCTAGTCTCACTTATGAATTTCATATCCCAGTTTAATTTCTGTATATTTATTGTTTAATGTGTTTTGATATGTATGGGATGGGCAGTGGCTCGATTTGATTTTTCATGGGGTGACGCCGAGTATCATCAGGAGACACTGGAGAATTTGAAGGCTGCAATTAAGAGCACTAAGAAGCTCTGCGCTGTACGTATTTTCATTCTGAATTTTAACTTAATAATGATTGATCTGGGTGTTTTAAATAAATATGTTATTGATCGGGAAAATTGAAAAGGAACGGACCTTGGGGAATTGCTTCTGATTTCCACGTCGTTGAGCAACTGGGGAAAAGAAGTGATCATTGTAAATATGTAGTTTTTGGGTCTATTGGTTTTTTTTTTCTTATCAAGTGTGCATGCTTTATTATTTATTGAACGACGTTGATGATTCGAAATAAAGTTAAGAAAATAAGAAAGTAAAATTTCAAAACTTGCTGCTGTTACATAAGTTTAAAGGAAAGAAATAAATGTAGAGGCAGTACTGCAGTAGTTGCTGCTTCTGTTTCTAGAATAGATACAAAGGTCATCTTACGCAGTGTAGTATAAAGCAGACTTTATTGGTGGTTTCTAGGATTGATGAATATAATTCCAATTGTTTTTTATCCTTTTTATTTTGTTTTTCAGCTGTGTTAATGGGATTATTTATTTCTGGATTTACCAGAGTAACTTAAAGCTTGTTGGCTTTTAATGTTTGCAGGTTATGCTTGATACTGTGGGTCCTGAGTTACAGGTTGTTAATAAAAGCGAAAAAGCTATAACACTTAAAGCAGATGACAAGGTTATTCTGACACCAAATCAAGGTCAGGAAGCAACCTCAGAAGTTTTGCCAATCAACTTTTCTGGACTATCCAAGGTTCAAATCTCTACCTTTGACATGATTGCATTATAACCCCTTTTTGTGGAGGCATTACTGAGCAAGGATTCAAGGATTATTTTGAGTGCTATTGCTGTTAAAAAAGGATCATATAGTTCATATTTCCAAATCCAGTCCATAATGCTAGATTTCTACATCTGTGGAAATAGTTGATTCGTCGGGGATTACTATTATTTACTAGTGTTAGTCATAGTTATACAGATCATCAAAATATTTGAAGATGTCAAATTGTTTGAACGTGTGGTGTGCTGTCAGAAACAACGTTTTGGTACTATTGAGATCTTGGTGGGGTCCCTTGTTTGAAAGTTGCATAGCAAATTCAGACCCTAACTAATCCATGATGTCAGCTAATTCATCACCATGAAAAAACTGCAGTTTACCAAGGCGTTTCTTCCAGAAGACCCAACATTCTAAAGATATAGAATTTATTTATTTTTTATTTATTATTATTATTATTATTTTGTTCTGAAATTGCATGGATTAAGTTTCATTCGTTATATTCCTTGAAATCTCTTTTGCAGGCTGTGAAACAGGGAGATACCATTTTTATTGGCCAATACCTGTTTACAGGAAGTGAAACCACTTCTGTTTGGCTGGAGGTATGAATCAAAGCAAATATAAATTTATACCGCAGAAATTTGATTTCATATATTCGTTTATTTTCGTTTTTGTGATGTGAATTTATGTTGTTCCTATGATTGTGTTTGTTTATGTTTTTTCTTTCTTGGTCCTGTTACAAGTGTTGGTCCCGTTGCTTAATCAAGTAGGAATCCAAGTGGACATAACTATAATTATTTGTCTTTTACATTGGGTTATGTAAAACAGCTAAATAATTTGTTCTTCTTGCTGCATTACAAGAGGTTTTGATTTGGTTGGGGCAGGTGGATGAAGTGAAAAGTGAGGACGTGGTTTGCGTGATAAAGAATTCTGCAACATTGGCTGGGTCATTATTTACTCTACACGCTTCTCAAATTCACATTGATTTGCCAACTCTGTCTAATGAGGACAAGCAGGCGAGTAATATTATTAGCTGCACTTCCGTTGATATTTATATGCTTTCAATGTCTCCTGCAGCAATTAGGAAGATGTTCTAGAGACTGATTGGGTACAGTAAGTATGAGTAATTCAGTGGCTTGGGCATTGGGTTTCATCTTAGAAGCATGCATACAGGACACATAACATGACATGTCCACAATTTATTTATTTATTATTTTTTTTTTCAAACAATTATGACGTGAGATGTAGAGAACGTTAAGTAAGCCCTTTATAGGCTATGACTCACTCCCATTGTGGACAACTGAATGTGTTGATGTTTATTGGCACAGATTTATTGAATTTTTTATTTTTGTTTTCCATCATATTTAACGGTCAAGAATTCATGTTATAATTAAGCCCTATATCTTCTTTTAGAAATCAAAATCTTCCCAGTAGCTGCATGTATTCTTTGGTCCAAAATTAGCAATTTTTGCAGTGTGGCCTCTCATGTCAAAACCTGACTCTTTGGGCCCGAAGAAATGTTCTTGTAAGACGTATTTTTTTGGCAGTGAAAGAACTTACAAAATGGGAAAAGTGGGAAGAGTAACCGCTGAATTTTGATAGGAGTAAGTGATAGGAATGATCCTTCAAGCTGGGCAATTTTTTTTTCCTTTTCCAGTTCTACTTGCTCTTTACTGGAATTTTAGTTCTTACATTGGTCTTTATCAAACTCAAGCCGTTAATTTTGATTATATTTCTATATATATTTTTTCAGGCTATCATGACATGGGGTGTTCAAAATAAAATTGATTTTATTTCATTGTCATATACGCGTCATGCAGAAGACGTTCGTGAGGTAACAAGGAGAAAACAGACATTTCTTCATTTACTTCCCTTTGTAGCTATGTAACATATTATCTTTTTTTAATTTCTTGGACACCAAAGTATTGAAAACAATTTGATTTTACTGGACTAAAATGCAGGCCCGTGAGTTTCTATCCAAGCTTGGTGATCTAAGTCAGACACAAATTTTTGCTAAAATTGAAAATGTTGAGGTGAATTTTACCTATCAGTACATCTCCCCTCCTCCTCTCCATCCCTCTCTCCCATTTTAATTATGATCCACAGTTTTTCTGCTTTGTATTTGATGTTATCTTGCCAGCCTGTTACTATGCAAAGTTCAGAACTTACTTCTTTGTCGACCCCATCTTTCTAGGGTTTAACCCATTTTGATGAGATCCTACAAGAGGCAGATGGTATCATACTTTCACGTGGGAACCTTGGCATAGATCTCCCACCTGAGAAGGTTAGCTCTTATGATGCATGAAAAGAATCAATACATAATTGATATCCATGTGATTTTATCCACTTGCACATGCAAAATTGCTTTTCTTATAGTACCTTTTTGCGGTCATATCATCACCTTGCATTTTAGGAATCATTATATTGAAGTGAGATATCTGTTTGTTGAGCGATTTTGTGTTAAATGTTGCTGTTTTCTTGATAACTATCGTAAACGGCTAGCTCGTGCTTGGTTTCAGAATCATCTGAGTGCTGATTTTAATTTTCAAAGACTACCTAAACTAGGAGTATGTTTTGTAATTAGTAGTGCTTGGTAAGCTGTGCCCTACAGAATGTGTGGCTAACAAACGGGTAGTAGTTTTGGGTCATAAGGAATGTCTGGATAAAAAGTATGTTTTACTAACTTAAATTATAATTTGAAATTCATCTTTGCATAATTGCATTTTTTCTGATTTGTGATATCTGATGCCTAAATGAGGAATATTTTTTATTTTTTATTATTTTTTTATAATCTTATGGAGTTGGCTCACTGGCTCCCCATTAGATTGAGACTAAATATAAACTTCAGTGGCCAATAAAGGACCTTGCTTGTAACTCTTATTATTATTGCAATCATCAGGGTCAGTGTCATTGGTTTTATATTATTCTCTATCCAGGAACTTTGCCACAAACTTCTTTTTGTATTTGCAGGTGTTCTTGTTTCAGAAGTCTGCTGTTTACAAGTGTAACATGGCTGGAAAGCCTGCAGTTGTAACTCGTGTGGTTGATAGTATGACTGACAATCTTAGGCCTACTCGTGCAGAAGCAACTGATGTCGCTAATGCTGTTTTGGATGGTTAGTCACTGTGTATCTTCTAACGACAGGGTCTGCGACATACTTGTGCTCAATTTAGGCCTCTTTGTCAAAAATTGTTTACTTTACAGTTTAAGCTATCAATCAGCTGAACAACAGTGACATCATTTTTCTTCTCAAACAATTTCAGGATGTGATGCAATACTTCTTGGAGCTGAGACATTACGTGGATTATACCCTATCGAGACTATTTCTACCATTGGCAAAATTTGTGCTGAGGTAAGGACACGAAGTTTAACAAGATACTCTCCTTTTGAAACCTGTCTTCTGAATTATATCAATTCAGTGATTTTATAATGCCTGCAAAATTTTCTTCTCTTTCTTTTTTCCCTTTTCCTTCATTTGTAACATCATACTTGTTTTCCCTTCGATTTATTTTATTCAATAATCCGCAATATGTTTACTTTGGACTTCTAATTGGAATTTAATATATGGCCCCATATGTCGTGTCGGCCTGGTTTACTATATACAGTCTTGAACTTCCATGCGACGTTAGCACTTGTAACATCTTTTAGCTAGTTTCATTCCAGGAGACCTGTTTTTATGTGTAAATAAAAAATACTTGTGCATATGTATTAAAAAAAAAAAAAAAAAAAAAAAAAAAACCGTATATGGATGAATGTATGTATGTTGAAGTTGTCGATCTCTAGTCTTTTTGTAATGCATGAATATCGTGCGTATAATCTTTATATTGTCTCGAAAGTTTGTTTACTGTGTTCGGAACTTCACTAGTTAAGAGGAGTTGGGTTCACATGGGATATGTGTTTCATATCTTTTGCACTACTTGCATGAGGTTGTTGCTTGTGTTTAAAATAGAAATTGTCCAATATTAGCCGGAGCGTATGTCTCCGGATAAGCATGAAAACACGATGGTATTTTCTTATGTGTACATTTCCATTCCATGGGGATTTTTTCTTTCTAACATGTAATTTTCAAGGATCAATTAATATAGGCTTTGTCTAAAAATTGTATGCAGGCAGAGAAGGTTTCGAATCAAGACCAGTACTTCAAGAAGACAGTGAAATATGTTGGAGAACCCATGAGCCACTTGGAATCTATTGCTTCATCTGCGGTACTACATTTTTAATTTTTTGCACTTCACACATCTGACATAAATTTAAGAAAGGGGAAAAAGAGAAGATAAAGTGACTTTGGACTATTTTGAATCTGTGGGTATCCTCTGTTCAAGCATTTGCCAATGCCAACTAGGATTTATAGCTCTTCTCTAATTTTGTCTCTAGGTGCGGGCAGCTATCAAGGTGAAAGCAACTGTTATAATTTGTTTTACCTCATCCGGAAGGGCTGCAAGGTATAATTTCACAAATGCTTATCCAGTGAATGACTATCAAGTGTTCTTTATTTCGCTGGATCTCATACGACTAAAATCGATATACCCATTCAATACAGATTGATAGCGAAGTACAGGCCAACAATGCCAGTTCTCTCAGTTGTAATTCCTCGCCTCAAAACAAATCAATTGAAATGGAGTTTTACTGGTGCATTTGAGGTATACCTACGACCCAAATCCAACATAATATCTGGATATAAAATTTTTTTCCAACATAATTTATTAGATGCATTTTATAAACCTTGACAAGTACCATCATAATTCCACTCAATGATATTGGCTCCAATTTAAGCTACAACAGCCTGTATCTTGTGTCCTTGATTCTTTAGTATTCAGGTTTGAACTATATCAAATATTTTATCATGTTATATGTATCATTGTTCAAAAAATAAAATAAGTGTTTCTTGGCTTTTGTCTTTTCTTCTTAATGCAATCTCACATTTAAATCCAGGTTCAAAGTTTGGAATTCACTAGAACCTTGTCTAATACCTCGTCATTGTTAAAGAATATATTAACGTGTGTTTGCCTTTAGAGTTCTCTTTCTTCTTGAAGCAAATTTTCTTCCCAATTCCAGGGATAAGTCTTGATTACTTTCTTGGTTGCATTCACTTTGATTTATTATCAACAAAGTCCTACTTATTCAAAAAACAATTATTGATAGAATTTGTTGTTAGTTCCCATTATGCAATGGTGTCATCTACCTGGTCTTTATGCTGATCGATCTTTTCTTCATGCTCAGGCAAGACAATCACTTATTGTTAGAGGTCTTTTCCCTTTGCTAGCTGATCCTCGTCATCCGGTAAGTGCTGTGGTTGTTACTGCATATTTACCTTTCTAGTTAGATTATGGTCAAGTAATTTGTGGAAACGTGTTCATAAGAATTTAGTTATCATATATCTTGGCTTCCACTTAAATATATGCTTATTTCAAGAAGACATTTGAATCTCTTTCTTGATTTTTTCATTTTGAAATTGCTCTGGACAGCTTACATAAAGTGGGAATAAGCCATTTATACATTGTCTAGTAATTTGCTTTTTCCTGGTCGCAGCTGTACTAAATTATGGAATCGCATATATTTTGTATCCAAATTGTACCGTATCATTGATTTCTTGGCCTTCGTTTTAATTGTAAAGTTGTGGGCATTGGATATCGTTTCTGCTATTTATATTTTGAAATCCCTTTTATCTTTGGTCTTAGATTTTGGATTAGATGCAAGTACGAGGAACCTTGTGTGACGTTTATGGAATTCTGTTTCAAATTTTTTGACTACCACCGTAATTTCCTTCTGATGTAGTATGAGCCTTTATAGATGGATTGAACAGTTATGCATTTTGTAACTGCAAGCTTACACTACAGTTTACAGTGTCATGTTCTACCCATGGGAACTGAATTACATTGTTCTCGCGATTTATTGGACATTGACATTGACCTTGATTCCGATTGAAGTTAATTTTTGGTCATGTTTCAGGCGGAGTCTACAAATGCAACTAACGAGTCAGTTCTGAAAGTTGCACTTGACCATGGAAAGGCCTCTGGAGTTATCAAGTCACACGACCGAGTTGTTGTCTGCCAAAAAGTTGGAGATGCTTCTGTAGTTAAGATTATCGAGCTCGAAGATTAGAGTATCAAGGCTGTTTTTTTGTTATTACTAAATTATTGCCCATTTTTTTGGGAATTCGATGGATGAATCCTAGTGACCATCAGTGTGGCATTGAACTAAGTGGTTTTGAGAACTATCTCATCACAGACAATCTCAATGTATATTGGGTTATTCCTTTTGATGGGAATTGATGTCCCCCAATTCTGTCGGTGAAGAACAGATTTGCTGCAATATTTAGGGAGATGCAGTCTTCATTTTGAAAGTTACTGTGTGTGAATAATTCTGCTATCCCTTTGGCTGCAATAAGTACTTAATTTCTTTTAATCTGCCCTTCATACTTTTAAATAAGCAAAAAATTAAACAAATGTAAGACTTCAACAAAGTATTTGGATATAAACAGTAATCCTATACAAGATGTGCTATTTTATTTAATGTTAAATGTAATAACGCGATGAAAAAAATTAAAAGCATAAGTGTGAAAATGAGCATAAGTAAAATATCTTTAATGGTATGAATTTTAATTATCCATAAAAGAATGCTACTAGTTTAATTTTATATTTTATCCAACCTATGAAATGTTGTCAACTTAGTACATATAAATCAATCTGTTACATACATCCATAAAAGTAACATAATTCTTATCCATAACCATGTAGTCCATAACAAATAACTTTTACTAAAATTCTGAAGACTTGAATGTCTTCAGTTTCTTATAACTTTTAGAAAGAAGAAATGTACTAGAAGGAAAAAAATAAAATATAAAGAAAAATCGCTCATTCCGTTCGACAAATTTATAAATGGTTTATAAAGAGAAATAATAGAGGAACTCTATCTTTGAGCCTGGTTTTAAACCGACTCAAAGTCTTTTTGATAATAGAGTCACAAAAAATGTGTGGATACTAATGAATAATTTATAATATATTAAATATCACATCAAATAAGGATAATTTTTTGAACAATTTTAATCCTACTACAATTTAATTAATTTTAATAATACCTTAATTTTCGTTTTTAATATACAATAAATATTATAAAATCCGTATGAATTTTCGTGTTATAAATTCTCAATTAATTAATATTTACATTAATTTAGGCTCAATGAATCTTATCTACATAAATCAAGAGTTATTGATGAATGTTTCTATTCATGTATTCAGAAGTTTTAATGTGTGTTTAAATTCATATATAAGTAATTAATTCTTATGTACCAAATGTAGTATAAAAATATTGCTCAATTGTAGTATTTCATCATTACAAAAAATTTGAATTATAGAAGTTAAGTTTTGAGAGTACAATTTTTTTCTTAAATCTCTATCATAAATTTTAATTTTTTAGTTCGTTTGTGACTCGTCAAATCTTCCTAGTAAATTGGTATCAAATATTAATTTTACAACACTTATAAATTATTTTGAGTATAACGTGTAATGTACATTCAACATTGATCAGTGATTATAAACGCTTGATTGAAATTAATATGTAATTTTAATTGAATTTATAAATTTGTGTCCAGCCAAGTATATAATTTCAAAGCCCCAAGATAGTGTAAAATTGAAGAGTCATGTCTTATTCTGTTTTAGACTTGATCCACCAAAAAAAAAAAAAAAAAAAAAAAAGGAAAAAAAAATCGAATAAAATACGTACATTCTGTTATTAAAAGTGTTATAAATTAATCAGGGCCCGCAGTGATAACCAGCGCCCATGGCCTAATGGATAAGGCGTCTGACTTCTAATCAGGCGATTGTGGGTTCGAGTCCCACTGGGCGTGTCTAATCTTTTTGACTGTTTTGCTTTAATTTTTCAAGATTACTCCTGGGTTAATGGGACAAAAGTCGAGCAAGACACTAACTGGCCTTGTAATTGTTTCAAATTACAACTTTTTTAATTTTAAGTTTTAACATAAAATTAAAATACCATAATACATATTGTAACTTATGTTTTAATGGTATAAATGTTGGAGTTGAAATTTTACCTATAAAAGGTGATTGAATTTTATTGTATTACATAACTTAAAACAACTTGAAGTACTATCATTTTTATAATTTTATACTATATTCATACTATTTTTACAACTCGATGAGAAACTTGTTCACTTATCTCCCTATGATGGTGCCCATAAAAGGAGAATCGATTGTGAGCTATATGAGTTTTATCTTAGAGCATATAGCATCGAAAGAACCCATTAGAAGGGAAGTCAATACGACTTTAGCATAGCGTCCTCGACGTAACTCCCAATGTTTACTTTTTTTCTAACTCTTCTCTAATTATATTTTATGTTCATGTTATTATTGAATTTTTATAGTTATTATTATAGTTGAATTATATAAATTAATGTTATTTTTATTATGATAAAAGAACTCGACTTGGCGTACAGAATTCTTTCACAAGGCCCTTTGGGGCATATTTCAGCGGTGCAAAGGATAAGGGTGAAGTATACTCAACCTTGCTGGCAGCCGCAGTGTGAGGGTTCAATTCCTGAAACATGGATTGGGACTCTTTGTGGGCACTAATATACAAGCAGCTCTTGTTTTCTGGTCTGCTGGAGCACATCTTGTGCTTGACTTCTCTCACGATGCTCCAGGGGTGGGACGTTAGGAGACCCTTAGGTTGGGATTCAACTTTTTTTTTTTTTTTTTTTTTTCACAGGAGTTTTACAGAATATACACAATGAGGGAATGGGTGGGTATTTTTTTTTATAATATTTTACCCACATGAATCCATATAAAAATTCTGGTTGTGTAATGCATAATGCATTATTCTGTTATTCTTTGTACAGAATAATGCTATGATAAATATTTATTTTTCCCAACAGAAAAGGATGTCTCTATCACATTCACACCATTTGTCAGCAGAAAATGTGTTGCGACCCACTTTCTCCAAGCTTAAATTCTCCAAAACGTTGAAAATATCTTTGGGGTCAGGTCTCAACTAAAGAATTTGAGCTATTCCTCTCTCGACCATACTTGGTTATCTATCTTTTGCTTCATTTCTGTGTTGTCAAGCTCTGCTGAGAGCCTACAGCCCTGCTGAGCTCTTGCAGACGACCGGATTTGCAACTTACCAACTTGAATTATCATAGATATATTGGCCCTCTTGAAACCAAAAAATTAAACTTTGGGAATAGTCCATGCACATCTTCCTTCCCTTGTGAAATCATTACAATAATATAATTATTACTTGCATTGATTCTGTCCATGCAAACTCAGAAACAATGAATATAATACCAGTTTCAACAAGAAGCAAAACCAAAGAGCTCTGTGTAAATACTACTTTGAAACGGTAAAAGTACACTCTATTCATCCAGTTATTGAAGAACTAGAAACAAAACAATCTTAAGTTTTAAGAACTATTGATTCATCCAGTTATTGAAGAAGGGTCACTTCTCTTGTTTGACGAGGACTGAAGATCAAGCAATTCGATCTCCTTTTGTCGAATAAGGAGGACCATTCTTTCATTTTCCAGCTTCAATCTCTCATTTGACAGCTTCTCTCTCTCCATTCCCCTCTCCTTCTTGGCACTGAATTTCAACCATTTCAGTCTCTGTTTCTCAATCTCAAATGCTTGGCTTTGGAAGCCAACACGCTGCTCCTCCAATTGTATCGACCTCCGTTCCATCCATTGTCGTTTTTCCGAGGGACTTCTTGTTCCATCTTGCAACATATTTGTCAATTCAGCACTGAATTGTTGAATCATAGGTGAATGAAACAAGCCCCTTTTGAGTCTCTTCCTTGATGATTGTTCATCAGGGTCATCATCGTCCTCATCTTCTTCTTCTTCATCATCATCGTCGTCGTCGTCATCTTCATCACCATCCTCCTCGTCATTTTCTTCTTCAATACTAACCAGCTTTTCCACTTTAGATCCCTTTATTTTTGCCGATGGGTGCAACCACCTTTGTTGCTGCGTCTGAGACGGCTCTGCCAGTGAATCTTGAGCACCCCCACCACCGTCGTGAGTTCCATGACCGCAACTATTATGATAAGCACACATCTCTCTAAAAAACAAATGCTTTGAATTCAGCAATTTCTTCACTTCTTCCTTCATTTTCATCGACAGATTGTCCATTGTATCAAGTAAACTTTGATTCTCCACCACTCGACACGCAATTCCCTTACCAACGATATCATTAACCCTCTTGTACCTCTTGTTTAAATCGTTAAACTTGTCTTCACACTGCTGTGGAGACACATAAAACCCCTTCTCCATCATAGCCCGAGATACAGATTTCCATTTTCCTTTCTTCTGCAAAACAGTACCACCCTTCTTTTTATCATTGCCTTCGGACCCAACTTCATCTCCAATATAATACACCGCCATTATCAACAATCTCACCATATTATCAGTCCATTTCATTCTGTGCCAAGGGGACATTTTCTTCTTTCCATCATCAGCAATGTTTTCAGCGGTGAAACCATGCTCATCGTCATCACTAAATGTCAAGCTTGGATTCTTGGCTTTTGCAGCATGTGGGTCCCCTTGTTTCCCGG